TTGTTACTTTGTTGAATTTTGTTCTGCTGGTAGGATTTTAAAATCTGATTTAGTAAATGTTGAGGCATTTGCTTGCACTGACTGCAAGGATCTAATATTCAGGAGTATTTATGGATATCATGAACATATTTGATATAAAGTTCTGATGGTTAATTTTTGCTATGCATTTAATGTTAGGCACTATATGTTGTATTGCACTGGAGTTCTGGAATTTGAAGGAAAAGTACTGCTATATTTTGAGAACAATGAAGGTTATTCCACACCCAGTTTTACATAAAATTAAAAAATACAACATAATTTGATGTTCTTGCCAACTTCAGCCAATATTAAGATGTAATATTATGGAATAGTGTTACTAGTTGCTGCTTAAGGAGAGGGTTATGCATACACATGTGCATGTATATATATCAGTATAGCTATTCATACACATACTGGAGGTGTGTGTACATATATATATATAGATAGATAGATAGATAGATAGATAGATAGATATACACCCATGTATGTACATACACAAAAAAAAGAGCTGCTACTGTTTTATAAATACAGCAACTGAGTTTTGGCTAATAGTTTTATTTACATTTCATGTCCAGATCTTTTAACAGTCTTTCCTGTGATGCTGCAACGGATGCCAAGCACTGAAGGAGAAAGCTAGCAGCTGTTTCCATTACAACATTGGTATATTAGCCTCTGCACTTTATTTTCATTTTATGATCTCCTTCAGCCTTTCCTAATCACCCCCTAAAAAGGCTTTTCCCCTTCTGCCTCTGATTTATCTGTCTGCAGGGTTCTGTGTTTTTCTTAGCTTTAAAAATGTAAAATCGGTGTGGTTTTTTTTTTCCCCTTAAGAGCTTAATGCTTTGACTCTTACCCACACTGAGCAAGAGCTTACTGTCCTTTTTCAACTCAAGTAAGTAGTTCCTTGTGTTATGTCTCTGTAATCCCTTACTTGAGATGAGTCTAGGTTGCAGAACAGGACCTACTATGACCAATTATATTATTCTTGTAACAACTTGAGCCACTGTATGATTTATAGTTTCTTTTGCACGCCACCTGAATAGTGTTTTGTTCGTTCTTGCTCTTTCCTTCGCCATCTCTCTGAAAATAATTGTTTCATGGCTGTATGCTCTTATTGCTGAGATACGACTGAAAACTGCATGCAGTACAGTGAAGCACATTCATTTTCATCTAGTACCCGTTTATTGCCTTGAGCACTGTAAATCTGTCAGCTCTTCACGATGCTTTCACCTCTTTCTTCATTTGCTCCAGCTTCTAGTTTGACAATGTTCCCCTGAGGCAGAATTCTAATCTGCTTCCAATTAGTTGCAAAATGTGACTCAAATTTCCACATTATGGCTGCTGTTTTACTTGCACGCACACATCTAGAAACAAATTAATGCTCTTGAATATTTATTTTTGAGCCTTCAGATTTACTCTAGGTGGAAAAGTTGCCAACTATATTCAAACTACATCCAAGATTCATATTTTTTCTCAAACTGGAATATTTCTTAAAGGTTTTAAATGCCTCTTACTGCTTAATTTTCACAAAACCTTTTCAACTGGTTGGCAACTATTGAGGGTACATTGTATTGCGATAGATTAAACAAGTTAAAAATACATATAATTAACATTTAAATATGGATGTGATTGCTGTGTCAGTTCAAGGTAAGAGGCATTTATTTTCTGCAGGGTTAGCACTTTTTTTTTTTTTTTTTTTTAACCTTTAAGTAGTTTTTCAGGATGAACATACATACCTGACACCTGTCTGACTGCCACCTATTATCTGCAACTTCAGAAGTTGTCATTTGACTGGGGGGAGGGATGGAGACCTGTTTGATCTTTGGTGAGTCTTAATAGGTACAGCTAATTAAACTCTTTTTGTATGGACCTGTGCTTGTGTATGCATCCATACACATGAGTGCATGGGTGTACATTTAAAATATGATACCTTAAATTTAGAGGGTTTTCTTGTAGTGTTCATTCTCTTATGAGTAGCTACAGTAGGAATATATTGTATTGGGTTGGGAAGAAGTGAGATTTTGAGTGGAAAGTGTGGAAATCAGCACTAACACCCTGAGGAGAGGACTGGAATCTAATGGGAGTCAGAACTTCATTCCTTATTCAGCCAAAACTAGCATTAGGTGCTCTGTGACAGTTCTGCCCTATTGCCCTAATGCCTTATGTAGTTGTGTATGTTGAGAAGCACAGAGTACTTAATTCAAATATACCAGCAGCTAAACTTGTAGGTGAAAATCTTTAGTGGAGATTAGCACTCTAAAGCCTGGCAGATTGATGTCAGCAGCCGTAATAGACTTTAAATAGGCTTGCAGAATTTCATTGGGAGTATATTGCTGAAATTGAAATGGCTAAGTACCAGTCATTTCTAAATGAGATTTACACCTTTAAGTTTATCTATCCACCTACAATACTTATTTAAAGTATTAAGTATTAAAAACATACAGACATGTTTTTAAAAAAAATATTTAATTGCCTCTACTGGCTCACACTGAGGTGGTAGCCTGCTAATCCCATGTTGTATGTAGAAACATCTTCATGAAGGCAAATAGATACATGTTGTGTTTTGATTTTAATGCTTGAGAACTTATTTTCCAGAAAGAACAAAAATTTGAAAATAAAGGAAAATTATCTTGATGTTATTTTCTCTTGAGTCATCAGTGACTTTTAACTTCAGAGATGAAAAAGCTAACATGTTATTTTTTTCTCTGAAGGTTTAATTTACTCTAGTAGACTCCTGTGATTCACAACATCGTTCTATAAAGAAACAGTATTTGCAAACATTGTGAAATGCTGCAGTAGCATGGCATTTTTTTTCATACAACATCAAAGTATTTGAGGTTCAGCTTTGTAGCCATGGTGAATCACAGTTCCTGTGATTGTCAGTTGTTGATAAAAAAGTACACAGTCAATTAAAATTCGAGTGAAATGTATGTATTCGTGGCTAACAATAACTGACTTTTTAAAAAATATGCCAAGTGAAAAACCAGGCCAGGACATAAAAAACCACCCCCACACATCATCCACCTGTATGTGTACACACACACAAACATGCAACTGCACATTATTAATTTTTCAGGCAAAAATCACAGTGCTTCAGAGAAGCATTAAATGCTTTTGTTGATAGCTTATAGTTTTATAAACTCTAAATGAGCTTATTGCCTTTTAACCAGCACTAAATAATAGAAGAACCTATGAGCCTCTACATTGGACAGCAGCCAAGCAGCCGAAGAAAGCAAGGGGAGAAAAAAAAAAAAAGAAAAAAGAAAAAAGACGTGAATGGCTTAATTGTAGAGCAAATCATTTGTTTACAGATTAAGACCTATTTGGTAGCTAAATCCTATGGACAAGAAGGTGAAAGAATGAGGCACTAAGGTGCAGGAAATGAGCTTTATATTTTGTGCCTAAGTCCTGCTATTTTTGCCTCCTCCTAAAGCAGAGGAGACAAGGAAAAAAAATGAATTGTTTAACAGCAAAGACTGCTGAACAAACTGCACATATTAAGTTGGAACAAAAGAGTGGGAGAAGGGAAGTGTTGGTGCACTTAGGTGCTGACAGGAACCTGACAACTGGAGCTGCTTCCAGCTAAGGGGCACCAGTCTGTGGCAAGAAGAGCTGCCCTATTTTGTTTTCCTTTTGAATGGGGTGGGGGAAGAAATGCTTCTGTTAATTTGAGCAAACATAATACATTTTCTTAAACCTCTCTCCCCAATATGCCATTTGGTTTGCTTACTAGAACAGCTTACCCCCCCTTTTCTTCTGTCTTGTTTTTTCTCCTCTCTCCTTTTTAAGAGCAAGTTTTGTTTAATAGGCCTTTGTTTCAGTATCATAATTAATTAGCTGACAGTTCAAATGGTTAAGAAGTGCTTGTGGTTCCTGCTTTATTGTTGTACAACATTTTTTTAAAGACCCACTTACTGGTGGCCTGTAAATTTGAAGATATCGTTTTCATGAGTCATTGGTTTAAAGATCAAAGCCAAGAAAGCATTATAGCAGAAATGGAGTAGCCTCTGCTGTAAATGTTGTTTAAGCTTCTTCAGTTAAAACTCACCTTTTCAATAATTTATAGCCCTTCAAAATTCTTACCTTCTGAGTTGAATTTTCTATGACTTCTCTTTGTCACTTCTGAGAAAGTGAATTTACAAAGTCTGAATAAGGAAACAGGTCCATAGGTATGGAAAAGAAAACATTTTATTTTACAGAAAATCCCTGCTATCAGTATCTTGGTCAGCAAAGCCTTCTGAGAAAACAAGTTGTGATTATTTGTGTAGAAATAGGCTTTGATTTGATCAGATTATAAACCATTTGAAGATTATATTTGGCCTACGTAGAACAACTATTCATCTTCAGTGGCTATAGTAATTTACATGGGAAAAAGAGTAGATATAACTCAGTTCAGTAACTTGTGTCTGGTCATCTCTAGTAATAAAATACATTTTTAGTTTAATCCCCTTAACTTATAATAAAATGGGCATTTTTTCCCTTTGGCTAGTGTCAAGTTTGTGTAAAGAAAAATTAGAAGATGTGTGAAGAAAAGATCTTGTCAGTTGTGCTTATTTGAAATGCAGTATAATAATAGGAAAGCTTTTAGTGTGTAATTATATTGAGTAATTTTCAAAAGGGACAAGAAAAAAGTTAATGAGCTTCAGGTGTGACCTTTTAAGTGCTTGGCAGTGCTGTGCCTTGTTTCTTTACATATTGCTTGACTGAAATTCACTGATGTGATATATAATGTTGCACTCTGCTTATGAACAAAGAAATAGAGTGTGTTGCCAGTAGGTTGTGCAATTAAGAATATATCTCCCTCAAACTAGAGTCTACTAAGTAGCAACTTAGAGAAAAACATTCTTAATAGTGTTTCTTGCTTCAGATTTTGTTTCTGCTGCAATTTCCTGACCACAAGAATGTGTGTACAAAGATAGTACATGGAAAAGTGCTCCTCGCTGAATTCCCTAGTAACGGGCCACTTCACCCATCCCATATAGGCACAGAAGCCAATTGCTTCAAAATGAGCAGCGGCATGAGCACTGACATCTCTGCAAGAAGAATGCTGCTGTGGAAGTTATGTAAGACTTGTGTCCTCTATATGCAAACTAATTATCTACGTATTTGTGTATGTTTACACCCCTTTGTATTCTCCATAGGCTCTGAAATGACTGTCTGTGGAAACATTAAACCAGGCTGTTACCTGATGTGTTTGGTAAAATGAGCATTGACATACTTGAAGTGACTGAAAGCAGTATTCTTAATGACTATTAAAGAACTTTGCATTATGTGCATGGGATTGTGATTTGTTCACACTGTACTTTAAAATCTGTATAATGTATAAAACCAGTTTGTAATAAGAAACTTGCAGTAGGAAAATTTAAGGCAAAATAATAGTAATTTTTGCATCTACTTACACATATATAATTTCCTGATTATTATTGCTTCTAACAGATACAGTTGGTCTTCAGACTGCAAGTTAAAAATTACAACATTGAAATAACAAATGAAGTTTCATAAATTTTCAGAACAAAACTGCTTCTTTTTTTTTGTGTGTATGTATACAAGTCTTAACTACCAGTGGACAAAATACCTCCAGGGTAAGTCTTTAATTTTTGATCAATATTGTGAATATCGAATATTTTTCTTTACCAGTAGTACCTTACCAAGTGCTTGATGGACTTAATAAACTTATTTGTATCCTTGGTAGAATGAAAACCATTACACCAGTGATTAAGTTACACCAGTGGTTAAGTTGCCCTGAATGTGGGTTTCAGTAAATTCAAAAGAAACGTTGCATTCTAAATTAACAATTAGACAAAGAAATAATTTAATCCTAGGATTTGGAGAAATTTGATAGAAATTTGTCTTACTTTTTTGTTATTGTTGTACTGGAAGCCAAGGGGCTGGTAATAAGCCCTTTGACACTTTAGCTCATTAGGATAACAATAGCTCTGGATAGTATTTATGGTGTCATAAGAGCTCATTTTTCTTATAATTATGTTTATCAACTTTTAATTCTTTCCAGAAGAGCCACACTAATACAGTATTACTTTCAAAATTGAAGGGGGAGTTGGTGGTGTAACTAGAACTGACAGATTTAAGTATTTTGTAGGGAAAAAGCCTTTAAAGTTCAACTACAGAGGTTAGAGCACAGTTTCCTCTGTCTTGTTTGGCTTGCCACTGTTGTACAGTAAGTCACTGTGTTTGCTTTTGTGAATAAAAGTCAGCTCCACAGATGAGGAGTGTGACACTTCTGTGGTTCATTCCTGTACTTTCAGTATTTTCAGTCTTTTGACTTAGAGAAGGTCAGTTTATCTGGAAACCTCAAAACAGTACAGCAGGTTTGTCAAGTAATTAGGTTAATTTCTTTCAGTTGTTACTAAGTTTGTAAATCTTTTGCTAACAGACCAGGCTATGAGCAGAGAGGAAATAGTACTTAGAGATCAAATGAAAATCTCCTTTCATATTGCAACTTTATTTAAAATCAAACTTGTAGCAGACTTTAGAGTTGAATTACTGTATTTGTTGGTTTGGGGTGAGAGCAAAGCATCATTACATGTCTTTGGTGTAGGAAAACACATTTCTTTTTGTTTGGTTTAAATTAGGCTGCTCTTAGAGGAACCAGTATATCCAAGACTAACTCCTGTTACAGCACTACAGAAGTTCTTCAGTCTGATTTTTCCTCTGTGGAAGCGGGCTATAGTAAATCTTGTTTTCTTCAGTTCTGGACGCAAAAAGTTATGGTTTTGCTCAGTTCTCCCACAAAAGGGAACCATTGCACAGTGCTCATGCAAGAGTGTCTGCACAGGTCTTGGCTTTACCTCAGTCTTTGCATCTGGATAAGCAGTGAAGCTGTATCTGTGACTTGGGTAGGAATGGAGCAGTGCCAGGACAGAACTGGAAGCTGATGACCAGAGCGTGCTTCAGCCTGCAGGTATCAGTGGAACAGTTTTGTTAGGTTTCTGAAAATGAAATTTGAGCTGTAATCCTGTGCAGGGTTCTAACAGCATCCACCCAGAATACTATCAATACATATCATATCATATATCAATACATACCATTGAGGAGTATTCTCAGTGATGGATTCAGGAGGATTCTACAAGGTGGGACATTTAGACTGTGGCTTGAAATCTCCTGGATAAACAGCAATTTGTTTTAGAAGTAAGCATTACAGTGCATGTTTTCTTTGTGAATGCCATCACTATTTTATGTATATTCTTTCTCCTTCTTCCCTTTCTTCCTTCTTCAGTAATAATGAATGATTATTCCGTCTTCCTGAATTTGTGAGATACTATTGTTCCTTGCACACTGTAGTGCCTTTTAATATTTTTCCCATCTTATTCCACACTCAGTGTTAGTAGAAGAGGTGGAATATAAGAAGAAAAGTTTCCTCAAGACTCCCCTGTTCATTTGACAGGCTGTATATGAAGTCAAGTCTCTGATTCCATGGTGTACTGTCTGTCTCCCCTGTTGTTTCTGTGAACTTATCAGCTGGTTACAGAGAAGAGAAACTATTTCCAAATTTATAAGGAAATGTGTTGTGAAACCGCAAAAATGTACAGCAGTCTCAAGGGTAAGCTGTGTATCTGGAACACTTTGTCAGGGCTTTCCTTTTTTGAAAACTTTCATTAACCTGCACAGACTGCACTTGTAGAAACCTAATTGCTGAAATCCCTGTCTCTGTTAGCTGTCCTGCTTTGGAAATCTCCATCTCTTTAGCAACATTTGAAATTCTTATCTGCCTGTCTGATGCCTAGGTGCTCCAGATATTTCTAGGAAGAATATCACAGATGATGAGAAGGACAGATTTTTCAGGCATAATGGTCAGAGTTGGAACTGCATCAATCATTTATTGAAATAAATGAAGCTCACTTACTCACTTAGATGAAACCTCACGCTTAAGTTCTTCATTCTTCAGGGGAAGTTGTTGTTTTTGTTTTCTTTTGTTTTTTGGGGTTTTTTTTGAGTGAAGTTGGGGCAGGGCTGGAGACTGAATGACATCTGTTACCTGGTCATGAGGAATTTGCAGGTTTTTTGTTGTTGTTTGTTTCTTGTTTGTTGTTTTTGTTTTGTTTTCTGGCCACTGTTTCCATGTCACCAGACTCTGGAAAACATTTGCTGCAGCTGGCTCAAGATAGGAACAGCCTTGTCTTTGTGTTTAACAGTCTTTCGCTCCTTCATTTGTCTGTTGATTGTCTTGTATGCCCAATGAATTAATTTATGATAACCTGTGGAAATAGGTAAGCATACAATTCCTAGTACAAGTGATGCAATTTGACAGATTCTGTGTTTAAGTGCAGATCTCTGCTGTTAAGGGAGCCAGGTGTGACGTTCTTTTCCTCTGCATTTAATACACTTAGATAGCTTTCCATAAGATATTCAGTGATGAGGAAATAAAAAATCACATTTTTGTAAAGGAATAGCAAGTAAATGAATGCAAGCCTTTGGCAAGAGAATGGCAGTCTCTCCACTGATTGTGTTGCCAATCTTGCAGCACAAAAGTGATTCAGCTTCTTTCTGGCTGTGGCCTAGGCCAGATACTGTTGATGGTGCTGTGTTTAATGCTGAAATGTAGCTCCTGAGTAACCATAATAAATCAACAAACATTTTTAAGTTCCTTCCTGTTGAATGTGTTTTCACAGTGCAGAAAAGGCTATGGCACTAATTGCTGAAGAGTTATTTTTTCCTTCAGTATGCCAGCATTTCCATATAGATGCTTATGTGTGTAGTTACTTGGATTTCAAGCTACTTTCATCTAGAGAAGCCTAAGAAACACAAGAGATGTATATTGACTGTGTAAGTACTGAGGAATGAAATCAAAACACTATCTTTCCTGGTTACAGTTAACCTCTGGTTGAACTCTTAAGTGCTCAAACTGGCACCAGCCCCATTTCTTCCAGAGATTCCTCGTCCAAAATTGTATATACAGATAATGTGGGAGTTACTAGGATGATGACAGATGCCATTTACAGGGCAGCGGAGGGCTAGCTTGATTGACCTGATCCGAGAAATGCTCTTTAAGTAGTTGTAGAGACAAAGGTATTTAATGTGTGAGACAAACAAGCCTAGTAATGACAGTAGCTTCTGGACTGTTCTCCTTTGTCTAGCCTAATTAAAGATCCCCGAGAGTTGTTTTATGAGCTATGTATTGTGCAGAGAGCCATAGTTACTTCCATAAAACTAAGCTTAAAGAGGTGTGCATAATTGGGAGGAAAGATTTTAGTGGGCTGGGTGTGGCTGCAAATGTTGAGCATAGAGAAAGGGAGGCTGTCTGTGGTTTGCCTGCAGAATCTGTGGTTAATCTAGGGGATAATAATACAGCCTTTGATTATCGGTTTCGAAGTACAGCGACATACTGTTTGTTCCCAAGCTGTTAACTTTCTGAAAAGTCACTGTATCTCAGTTAATTAATGATGTTTATAGGATCAGCATGTTGTCCAATAAGCAAATCCTTCACAATAATTAAAATGTGAGTGTTATAATCTTAAAATACAGTTATCTGACCTTTTAAAAGAACGGCGTGTGTGCTACTCTGTGCCACTGTTGTATTGAATTAGAAATCAAAATCTAATAATGAGTATATTTTCTCTCTAGTGAAACTAAATGTGGAGCTCTTTTCCCTGTGCGGCACTGCTGTTACAGTCAAAGGTGTTGTCAATATTAAAATTTAAATACCACCTCCTCTTCCTTCTCCTCAGTGTGATAACCCACCCTTAAGGGGAAGGTGGGTCATCACATCCACTCATCATCGCTGAATAAAGTTGTTTTTGATTGTAACTTTACAGATTAGCAATTCCTTAGTCCCCATATTGCTCTCCAAAGCACAGAGGTAGCCTAAAATGGCTGCAGATTATGATGTATGACTGCTCTTGTGAAGCTGCAGCTGTGAATCTCAAAGAGGATGTAACCATGCAGAATCGCTCTTTTAGATGGTCATTAGCGCTGCATAAGTACAAGCCTCTTTTTCAGACAGCATTTATTCTTCACGGTTCTTCTACTAGTATGTGATGGCAATGTCATTTGCCAAGCATTGAATAACAATGAATGTTTTATTGAAGTACAGTATTCTGAACCAGTGCTTTTTTTAAGCTGTTTAAGTGCTTAATTTTCGTTTGACTGCTCCTTTTCATGCAAATGTGAGTGTAGCAGAAAAATCCAATACATCCTCCTCCCCTGTGCTTGTATGATGTATTGGACTAAGCTGAAGGCTTCTGTGTGGCAAAAGGATACACAGCATAATTTATCAGTTATCCACTGGCATGCTATCCTATTCCAGTTTTAGTTGCCTTCATTTTCTTTAGAACCAACATGTGCAAAAAACCAAACCAAACATAAAACACACAAAATTTTTCTGTGTGTTATTAAGAAAAAACCGAAGTCAAGAAACAATATCTTCCTTGCCCCTAGAATTGCCCTCAAAGAGAGGAAAAATTAAGCACAATAGTATTTTTTTTGGTGAATGAAAAATGGAATTTGGTCTAAATATTTCAATGCATGGTTATTTCACTCATCTTGCAAGGACCAAATTGCACTTGGAAGCATTATTATTTCATTTTTGAAGAGCAGGTTTTTGGTGTGGTTAACACCTAGAACTTTGGCAAGATTATTTTGAACAGGCTAGCACTTCCTTTTTCCATTATGAGGATCTGAAGGAAAGCTCATGTACCCAATGTGCTTTGTCCTTTTGAACATCTGGCCCCTTGTTTTGATTTGTGAGCTATCTTGAAAATCTGGCATCAGTTCTGGGGGCTAAGTTTGTGAGAAACGACCCCTCACTTTTAAAATTTCAAAGGTCTATTAAGGCAAAAATGAGCGGCGCGCGACCGTCAGTCACACGCTCACCCACAAAATGGCCGCTCCGCCTCTTATACCCCTGGTGTTGCGTCAGGAAACCCTGGCCCCGCCCACAGCCTGTCAGTCAGCTTCTTCCTCACTGTTCATTGGTGAAAGCTGCTCTCTGGCATTTTGATTGGAGGTCAGGTGTCCCCAGGCCACGCCCCCTAGCAGCAGGCCTTTCCTGCTCACAAGTGCCCCATGCAAGGGCGCAGGTAACTCTCCTTCCCTCCACATGTCCTGGACACCCCGGCTGTCCGGTGGCGGCTACAATAGCACACCCATACAACAGTAGAGCTTCTCTTGGCATCCACACAATGTTAATCCCTTAACTGCGAGAGCCAATCATCCTCTTACCCATCTACAACAAGTTCTAATTAGATAAAGTACACCGTCTGGCCATAAGCTTTGCAGTACACTGAGGAAAGGAAGAAGGGGGAAAAAAAAAGCTGTCTTCATTTTACAGTCAGTGAAATTGAGACGACGAGACCATAGAGTTACTGAAAATGGTCAGTGTATTTTGATACTGAATATTGCCTTCAAAAGTGCCTACATATAGACCCAACCAAATGTCTCTGTGATCTCAGAATTCCTAGGTTTTAAGACTACAAAGCGAGTTCTGACATTGTGGCGTGAAAATTAGCCATGCCATGCCATAGTGCAATACGTGATTGTATCCATTCCTGTATTATCATCAGACTCTTTACCATGGTTTGGGAATACAAAATAATTTTTAGTTGTTTGGGGGTACAACAATAGATACCGTGTTTGTTCTATGGAGCAGTAAGCAAATACTCAGCAGAATTCAAGTGCTGTGACACTAATTTTAATAAAGTGCATGATCATTGTCTTCTAATTATAAACAATATTGAAAGCAAGTGGTCAGTCTCCAGGCAATACTCAAATCAATCCAGTGTAGGGTAGCTTAAATTTGATTTCTTTGCTACGTAAGAGAGGATAAATTTCTATATCATGCCTGTTGAGATAGAGAAGATTGTATTTATCTGATTCTTTGCCATTTTTTCCTCTATAGAAAAGTTAGGTTAAAATGTAAGAATGCATATGAAATTGTTTGCTTGTAGTCAAAGATCCACTAATTCTACCTCTGTATCTTGGGTGTATGATTTTTCTAGTGTCTGTGTGTTTGTGCCTTCTTTGTCTGTCCTCAGACGAGCAATGCATCTTCAGGTATCTTTGATCCAGTCTTTTCTGGTTGGCCATTAGTCATGTTGATTATCCAGTGATAAAGCAAGCTTTCTTCTCAATGCAGTTTTAACAGTTCAGCATCAAGGTCTGTCACATAAACAGTGTTGACATCAAAGAATTTGCAAAAATGTGTGAATTTGCAAAAATACAAACTTGGTAATATTTTGCCTTTTGTATTTGAGGGAAAGGAAAACTGAGCAGGTTGATTTTAATGTCCAAGAGGAGGGAAATTCCAGAAGCAAAAGAAAATGAAGTAACTCTCTCAAAATTGGAAAATAAACATGTCCTCAGTTTCAGTATCTAAAAGTAGTATTTGTATTACTTTGTTCACAGGTTGGCTTCGAACTAAAATACTGTTTACATACACACTGAGAACTGTTGCCAACCAGTGCACTTTTTATATTCCTGCTTTAATCCATTTAATCCATCCAAGAGTCAGTCCAATGCGAAGGAAAGGCAGCAGAGGTGTAATAAACACTGATTTAATTTTTACAGCACAGTACATTATAGAACTATAAAATTGTGTGATTAGCCAACTCATTAACACTGTCTTAAAGGAAATAAGTGTTTAGAGCTTGACACACTTAGTGCTGAAAACCTTTTTAATAGTAAATTTGAAAAGTAACCAGTATTGCTTGGAATAAGGATTGTGCTGCTGTGCATCATCAGGAGCTCCATATTAGGGCTGTCATCCAATTATTCCATTCTAATGCATTACCTGTTTTACAGCTCTCCTGTCTATACTGTTTTGACACTTCCTTGAGAGTGGTGCCATGTAGAACCTGCAGAGCACTTTTAAGTCACAAAAGTAACTTAATTGATTTAAGTACTGCCCTTCACTTTATAAAAGGGTTTATTTTCATTTACTCTTTTGTCCTGTGTTTATTAGTAGTGACTTAGAAGGCATAGTGAGAGCCAATATAAGAGTCATTGCAGTCACCCAAAGTCTGCTTTTCTGGTAGAATCCTATGGATCCAGATGCTGAGTTAGCTGTTTATGCTCTTAACATTTTCAGTGATGATTTAAGAGATCTAATAATCTGGTATAAGACACCTGAAAATTTCTGTATTTTTTGTACAAAGACTGCTTTTTTTTTCAGAAAGCGTGAAAATTTTTCTGAAAATTATATATTTGAGCTGGAAATTTAGAAAGTCTTGACCCCTCTGTAAAAGTCTAAAAAATAACAGTCTTTTTAATTTTCTAGATACTGGGAGGCCACTCCTGTCAAACTAAACTCATCTCACTTGTTGCATTAACTTCAGCATTTGGTATTAGTTTGTATTGTTCATTCAAATTTGAAAACAATGTTAGAGAATTCTTGGAAAACAAATTTACTGTCTCAGCCAGCTTAACAAACACATGGCCTCTTAATAAATTATACTTCTTTGAATCACATTTTTTTTTTTTTTTGGGTCATTATCAGTTATACAATGGTTGAATAATTTTCTTGTTTTAATGCTGTGCTTATAAAATTACTGCTTTGGAAGAGGTCTGCCTGATGAGTGTTTCCCCAGGTTAGCTTTTAAGTCACTGAATTGCAAGATCACACCATAGAAAGAAAGAGGAACACACTTAAAATTAAATCTAAAATTAAAACCTTGACATGTTTTAGGGTGAGGCTCATAGCATGATGTTCTTTTTTGGGTATATTTCAGACACAATCTTTTAAAACAGATCTAGTCCAAAAACACATCTAGGACAAGAGAAAATATATTTCTAAAATTGTGTCAGCCATTAAGCTACGGGTGATCTATATTTAAGGACCTGTTGTATTTAAGACATTGCTTTTGCTGTAGGAAAATAAGTATAAACCTGAGTGAGCAAGGGACCTCTCACACACACTGTTAAGCTATGTGATTAAGCTCATTGATGCTTAATCAAGTGAGTTTAAATGTTATATTTCTCTAGCAGCACTTGCCATCTGCATGTGCTGACAGAATGATTGTGGGAGAGCGTTGTGTCCCCTTTGGTGCCAGCCTCACACAGAGGCTGTGGTTCCATCTCTGCAGCTGATTTCAGACTGAGCTCTCACGGCCACGCTTTCTCATGGACCTTGTACAATGAACTGACACATCAGGATGAATACCAAAAGTATGAAGATGAGTTTTGGGATTTAGGTCAGATCCTACAAGATACAAGACTGTACCCATTGTTAAAATTGTCATTTCAAGTGTCCCTGGAGCAGTAAAGCCATGGAAGCTATCACTGCCATGGCTGCCTGAACAAACAGTCTGGGACTGATACCTCCTTAGTCCAGCTGTTTACTAAAGGTGGAGTTCCACAATACCAATCTGTTGCTTGGACACACTTGGTGCCTTTATGTGCTTCCTTGAGTAGTTAAGACCCTCTTAGCTGTGTCAATTTGACTAACAGTATGCCATCCTGAAGTAGGATATGAGATGTGTGGTTCTCCAGGTAAGAAACTGAAGGGAATGATTGTCTGGAAGACCACAGCAAAGTGGGAACTTTTAAAACTGGTTCATGTCAGCACCGTGTATGTATTCTGGAGCTGTGCCTAAAACTACTGGCTCTGGGACAGTGAAGAGTCTAAAAGGTTCCTGCTTCTTGCTTCCTCTTTGCTCAGAGGTTAATTACTGGCAGTAACTGAGACAGCTTTTTTAAAGGTAGTTCTGGAAAATCCCCACAAATAAATTCTCTCTTCCCTTAAATACACAGTATTGGCAGGATTGGATTCAGGTTGTTTGCAGCCATGCTGTGAAACCTCTCTATTTTTAGACCCTTAAGCAGAGTTCAGAGAGGGAGGACAGTGATGGGACTAAACCATCCAGCTAAAAGTGCTGCATTTAAAATATCAGCAACGTTTTTTGAGATCCATCTTTATAGGCATGTTTACTTTTGTACAGAGGAGTAACTGTTCCCTTTGGAGTTACATTCTTGGCTTGTTTCCATTCATTTATATGCAAGAAGAGTAAACCTCTAGTCAACCACACTCCATAGAGGTCAATAAGAAAGGCATAATTGTGGAATTTTTCCCCCCAGCACTTTTGAAGACACACATAAACCTGAAAATCAGTTGGCAGTATTTCTACTTCAGTTTTTCAAAATCATTAGCAATACGGAGTAAATGTATGCCTGGAAGTCTAGATAATTTGTATATAATGGTTAATAGATCTGGTTTTGAGGATGAGAAAAGTCATCAGACACTTCTGTGTACAGATGTTCATTTCCAAATATCTGAGCAATAGTTGCAGGATTGATACATTCAGGAAAGGAACACACAGAACTTGTTGCCTTTGTCCACCAAATAGAGCTTTTCCAGCCTTTCACAACTTCACATATGTTAATGAAAAACATTTTCTGAGCAATTGGCAGCTTCATGCTTTGTAGCTAATGCCAGCTTTTTTCATGGAGCAGTTCAAGTCAGAGCAAAGGGAAAAATGCCTTGTTTTAGTGCGTGAATTACTCTGACAAGCTTTCACATTGCCCCTCCTCTTATTAATATTCTTTTTGATGTGAGCTTGTAAAACAGAGGATTGGCTGTTAATCTCTGGGATCTCAAGGGCTTTTGGCAGTGGCCCATAATTGATGTGTTCACATGGCTGTTGTCTGACTACTAATGATTAGACAGCAGTGTTATCTCCCAGCTAAATCAGTGTTGCTTATAAATCACACTCGATAAAGTGCAGTTTCATTTCTTCAAAGGGTCTGTACATGTCTATATAGTTTGATACAACTGCCAGAGCCATTTCATGATTTTGTGACAGCTTAGATTAGGTTTATTTTTATGAGCAAGATATTTGAATTTCTACCAAGCATTCAAAAATGTTTCTTTCAGTTTGTCTTTGTTTTGAGATTACACAGTGGTAGAACAGAAAGGACATGCACATTTAGGTCAGATTATGCTAGAAGGTGTAAATAACTGGAGAAAATAACACATGAAAAGTGGAATACTTGGACTCGCGATTTTTTTTTTTTGCTTTATTTCAATAGAAAGGGAACTACACGTTTATAGTACGTGTTGATCACACTGTTACACAATAAAAATAGTCTATGAGAGTACAAGGAAAGACATAAAGAAACACAAGGCATTTCAACAATGGACTCTGGGATTTTCTGGATGAAATTGGGTCCTTTGCATGTGTCCCTTCATTTTTAGCAGGACAAGAATGAAAAATCCTTACTAAAACTCTTCAAATACAAATTTCTGTGTTTGGGTTCCTAGAAAGCATGCTAACGAGGATCTTAAGGCACTAAGGCAAAATCAATAGGTAAAAATGTTGTTGAGATAGGGACATGAAAACAGAGATCTCAAGGTGACCTGAATTCTGAGCCAGTGCATGGA